TGCAGACACAGGTTAGCGTTTATCTCACTGCAAGATATAGGGCAACCTGGTATTTAGTTTACCTACAAAAGGCAGTTAGGAAGCCCTAGAGGAACCTAATTAAAATGCAGCACATTTCCAAGGCACCATAGCTTGCTGTGTTGCCATAGAAACAGTGGAAATTTCTGGTCATTGACCTTTAAGGGAAATTGAGGATAAATTTTCATAGGGTTCATAAGAGAAGCAATCCCAGTATATTAACTTCTAGTTGCAGGACAACTTTGGAAATCCCCTATGCAATCCCACCTGACTTTAGAAGTATATTATATCAGCAAAAGTTATTAGAGGCTCAAACTTTGGCCTTTTGAAGAAACATTTTTTTAACTACTTCCAAAATACCATCTGTGTTATTGGACTTAAAATAATCAAAGATAGCATTGTAGCTACAAAGAAATGGTAAAGGATATCTTAAGTAGTTATACAAGAAATGTCAGAACTAATACTATATTTTCAAACAGTGTGTGTTACATTTATTCTATTGATTTTGGATTATTTAAATCTAGGCTTACTCAAATATTAAAATGCAGTGTTACTGAATCAAAAAATATACCTAGAAACTCAAAGTATTATGAAATGTTAAGGTGTCAATATTTAAAAATACAAATTCTTAATGCTTGCCCTTTCCAGTTTATTTATAAATTCAGGCATTATGATACTAAGTATGTATCATTGAAAATACTACTTGTATGATACATATGTGTACTTTGTGTGTGGCATATGTATATGCCATTTGACAGAAGGCGAGTGCCTGTGATTGAACAGAAAAAAATGATAAAGTGTACCCTACTGGGGACTGCTTTTTACTTATTTTTTATTTTCTACTAAAAATAAATAACTTAGTTCTATTGTCAGGATATTCACAGTTAAATAATTACAAGGGGATGTCAATTGGCGGAATCAGAGTCTGGCTAATTTGTCTTAGAATTAGAAATATCTCCATATATATATATATGAGTATCACTTATTCTACACATAGGTATCTGAAGAAAAATAGAAATATTCTAATAATTATATGTAGAAAAGCAGGGCCACTACCCCAGCCCCTAAATTTCTAGAGGGTTCTCTTACATAGCTGTCTGTTCTCACTCTGAGAGACAATGCGGGCTAGGGGCTGAGAACATAGACTCTGGCCCTATAATAATTGGGACTTACTAGCCATATGGCTAAGAGAAAGTCACTTAGCCTGCAGGAACCTCAATTTACTCATGTATAAAATGAGGATAATAATGTAGCTTCTTAGGGTTGTTTTAAGAATTAAATGAGCTAATATTGATAATCACTTAAGTTTATATTTGACACAGTAATAAAAACATATTTCCTCTTCCAATGGCAGAGGCAGAGCTCACAGGGAAATGCTATCCCCATTGCCCTCCTGCCCAAGACAGAAAGAAAACACTGAGATGACTCATCCTGGATAAAAACAGAGTAGTGTCAGTACAATGGACAGAGAAGTCTTTAGAGTTTCCTTGTAGAAAAATGTGCTTTTCTTCCTCAGTATGGATGTAGACAGCACTATCCCTGAGAATTAATGGTTGTCCTTGAGGTATGTGTATATTTAATCCGATAGTTGCCTAGACCATGAGCTGGAGAGATGAGTAAACATATTTTGCATCTCCCACAGCGGGGAGGTTTTGAAAGAAATCCAACTTACAAGGCCAAACTATGTATTAGATAGTTATGTTGCCATTTGGGTGCCAAAGCCCACCCTGACTTGTTTTGTTAAAGCCCCATAGAGTCATATCAGACTAAATAACTCTATCATTGAGAGAATGGTATCTGCAAAATAAACTTAGAACCAGAGTTTCAGGTCACTTCTCAGGTGGATGCCTCAGCAGTGGCTAGGAGATAAGCTTCCTGAAAAGGCTTTTGTGTCTTAACTTTTTGTTTAAGTGCTTGGTACAATATAACCACCATTGGTGTATATTAGTACTAGAATGCTTTTTGAACAAAGATATTTTAGTTTTTCATGTTGTTTTCCTAATTAAAAATACACATTAATGTGCCAAAATCAAACAAGATACCTAATTTCTTTCCAGTTTAAGACCACATAGGCAGTTTAACACTCATAATGGTCTCTTTTCAATTAGGCAAAAATGGAAGTTTCTATGGCAATCATGCTTATAGTCATTATACTCATTCCTTTTTCGTTCCTTGCCAATGCCCAATATACATCAAATTACTCACAATCACATACGAACTGCCTAGCACCTCTAGAATCTTCTTACTTAAAAATATGCTTTCTACTGGGAACTTTAAAGAGGACTGCTGTTTTTCTCCTGAATAACTAACAAGGTAAACCAAATAGTTTTTCAATTAATTTATATAGGGTTTTCATAGTCAAATTCACTGTCAGCACCCCTGCGGAGTTAATGCATCTTTCCTAAATAGAAAACTTTTCCTAAAAAATGTATCCTGAGACTCATATAGGTAGCAGAATTTAAAAGTCATAAGATTTTTATACATTTAGAGAATCAATATTTTTCCATTAATTATATACCTTATGCTGTACTTTGCATCTCCATGACTTACTTATTTTATAACTCAAAGTTTGTATCTCATAATCTCTTTTACCTACTTTACCCATTCTCCTACCCACCTCTGCTCTGGCAACCACCAGTTTGTTTTCTGTATTTAAGAGTCTGAGTTTGTTTTTGTTGTTATTTCTTCATTTGTTTTGTTTTTTAGATTCCACATGTAAGTAAAATAAGATGGCATTTGTCTTTCTCTGACTTAATTCACTTGGCATAATACCCTCTAGGTCCATCCATGTTGATACAAGAAGATCTCATCTTTTTATAACTAATATTCCATATTCCACATCTTCTTTATCTGTTCATCTATCAAAGGATACTTGGAGTGCTTCTATATCTTGGATATTATAAATAATGCTGTAATAAACAGCATGCATCTTTTTGAATGGTGGTTTTCTTTTTCTTTTATTTTTTCCTTTGGCTAAATACCCAGTAGTGGAATTGCTAAGTCATATGGTACTTCCATTTTTAATTTTGTGAAGAAACTCCATACTGTTTTCCAGACTGGCTGTACTAATTTTCATTCCCATCAACAGTGCACAAGTGTTCCTTTTGTCCCACATCCTTGCCAACACTTTTTATTTCTTCTTTATTCTTGACCATTGACAGGAGTTAGGTAATATCTCATTGTGCTTTTGATTTACATTTCCCTGATGATGAGTGATGTTGAACATCTTTTCATGTGTCTGTTGACCATCTGGATGTCTTCTTTGGAAACTGTTTATGTAGGTACTGTACCATTATTGGACTTTTCATTGACGAATTTCTCTATATATTTTGGGTATTAGCCCCTTATCAGATATATCACTTGCAAACATATTCTCCCATTCACTAAGCTGCCTTTTTATTTTGTTGATGGTTTCCTTCACTGTGCAAAAGCTTTTTTTTTGGTATAGTCTCAATAGTTTATTTTTGCTTTTCTTGCCCTCGCATGAGGAAAGTGACCCAAAAATATATTGTTAAGATCAGTGTCAAAGAAGTTACTGCCTATGTTTACTTCTAGAAGTTTCATGGTTTCAGGTCTTATGTTCAAGTCTTTAGTCCATTTTGAATTTCTTTTTGTAAAAGGCAAAAGATTTATATGATTTGAAGAGAAACCAGAGTTTGAATTTCACTTTGTATATGTTTAAGATAGTGGTCTAGTTTTCTTGACACTATTAAAGAGGCAGTCTTTTCCTCATTTTGTATTCTTGCCTCCTTTCTCATAGATTGACCATATAAGCATAGGTTTATTTCTGGGCTCTCTATTCTAGTCCACTGATCTAGGTGTCTGTTTTTGTGCCATACCGTATCACTGTTATAATTTTGTAATGTAGTTTGAAATCAGGGAGCATTATACCTTTAGCATTGTTCTTATTTCTCAGGATTGCTTTGGCTGTTCAGGCTCATTTATGGTCCATAAACATTTTAGGATTCTTTGTTCTAGTTCTGTGAAAAATGCCCTTGGCATTTTGATGTGAATTGAATCTGTAGATGACTTTGGGTAGTATTGGAACAATTAATATATTAAAGTTTCTGTTCATGAACACAGTATATCTTTCCATTTATTTGTATAGTGTTTAATTTTTTTCCTCCAGTGACTTAAAGTTTTCAGAGTAGTCTTTTGTCTCTTCAGTTAAATTTATTTCTAGGCATTTTATTCTTTTTGGTGCAATTGTAAATGAGAAATGAGTACTGCTGGCCTCCCAGAATAAACTTAGAAGCTTTCCTTTCTCTTCTATTTTTTGGAATAGTTTGAGAAGAACAGTTATTAGCTTTTCTTTAAGTATTTGGCAGAATTCCTCTGTGAAGCTATCTGGTCCTATACTTTTGTTTGTTGGGAGTTCTTTGATCAATAAATCAATTTTATTGCGAGTAATCATTTTTTCAAATTTTCTATTTCTTCCTGGTTCAGTTTTGAAGGATATTATTTCTAGGAATTTATCCATTTGTATGGACATTTCTTACAGTGATGTTCTGGTAGTTCCAAAAAATGTTGAAAGGCATTTCCTAGAGAGCGATGGGGGGTCGGGGTGTTTTTAGAAATAATAAAAATAAAATGCTGGGTTAAACAAAGTTAACCAGGTTCTCTCAGAGCCTTAATGTGCAAATATGTTTTATTGCTATCTGAAGCAGACAGCCATAATTATCTCTTAAAATCACTGTTCGGTGGAACCCATGTTTTCATACTTTGGGTAGTGTTGCTTCAGTTTATTTCCAGAGTAAAGGGTTAATGTTCCATTTCATTTGCTTAACTCTTCTAAAATTCCTTCTCCACCAAATGGCTGTCAAGAACTTTAATTGTGGCAGTTCTCAGTTCACAATGTTATAACCAAGATTTTATTACTTAAAATGAGATGGGATTAAAAATAAGATTTTTGTAATGAGATAACATTTTAATTTTCACCATTTATATATAAACACAAGTTAATAAAACACATCACAAAACAGTAAAATTTCATAGTTAATATTTATAGGTGCATAGTTTCATGCTCACATGTTTTTAAGTATTGTATATATTAACAAATTTCACAATACATCATCTTTAGACAGAATCATTAGAAGACACCTAGAAATCTTATAATATATGATAATAAATTGCAACTTCTCAAGAACAGCAACAAAAAAATAGTGAAGATTTAGAAATAAGTGGTAGTCACTTAGGTGTTTTAATTTAACATTTTAGATTTGAAGCCACAATATCCACACAGCACACAAAGACCCTGCTACCATTTATTCACTTCAGTGAGAGGGAAGCACTGAAATGCTGAGCAAGGGCAGGTACAGATAATTTCAATCACTGCTGATGGAAGAGTTTAAAATACACTGTAAAAACTTTGAGAAAATGTCATGACTGGGCACGTTGGAACTGAGTACTTGCACAGGATGGAACATCGCTCAGTAGATCTCAAGAAACTGGGAGCAAAAGTATTTCTTATGCTTCAGGTTCATAGTCTTGATACCCTTCCTAATAATGAAGAAAATAAAAAAGAAAACATGCAGTGTTAATATTAGTCATCAGGAATCAAGGATTTAGGGTGAATGAGATAGTACATGGCTCATCACTTTGAATAAAGGTTCTGCAACTATTCAGTTATACACAATATAATCTTATTTTGTAACAGTTTTGTCTTACTGTCAAATATAAAAGTGAATTATGCTGCTCAGAGTTACAGTATCTGAATTTTACTTCCAGATGCCAATTAACAATCATATGTTCTAATCATGTGAACAAGTTAGGTGGTCTGTCTTGCTCCCAGTTTCCTCAACTATAAGTTATGAGGGTCAAATCAAGTGGCCTAAAAATCCTCTTCCAGGGCTAAAATGTTCTCATTCTTAAAGAGAGACAAAGACATTAAGGCAAGTGATGTTTTCTCTCCTTTTGAAAATTTCTTCCTCATCGTTGGCTGCAATTATTACTTCTATTCTAAATCCCCTTCTACCCATACAATATATATAGATAACATCCACAATAAAAATATTAAAGGCCTTAACTAAAGTGATCAGAATAGTCCTCCTAAATAAGAACTCGAATCAAGATCCTGCTTTAAAGCAAATATAACTCAAGTTGCTTGCTGAGTACAGAACAAACTTAAATGCAAAGATTCTTCTAGTATTCTACAATTTGTCATTGACTCATCTCTGCAGTCTTAATCTGTTACAGTTCTCTCAGTTACCTAAGCTAAAATCCTGTTTAACTATTCACTGTTCTTCAAACATATCCTTAAGCATGCTCAGACATGCATGCCTTGCTTCTAATATTACCTGTGCTAGAATATCTTCCTTTTCATTTTGGCCTATCATATTCCCTCCTACACAGATCAACACCAACTCTTCTATAAAACTCCTGATCACTCTAAACAGATTCTGTAAAATATTATACTTTTTTGTATATCTTCCATATTTTTTGCCTCTGAGATGCCCGATATATAGAAGATAGTCAATGTTTGTTAAAGGAGTCATTAGAATAAATGAAACAGTAAATTTGTATTTGTTTTTTAGAACGTATACCACTTGTGTCCTGGTACTATCAATGAACTTTCTTACATTTTCTACAGTGTTTAGCATTGTGCTGAACTTAAAAAGACTCAGTATTCTTGGTAAAAATCTGAGCAAAAAAACCAATTTCAATTTCTATAAGTGGGATTATCAGTATGTTTTTTACTAATGCCATGAAGAAAAATATATAACATGACATTTTAACTTAATTTTTATGAATACAACTTCTTTGCTTGTGATGTCTGGTTTGGCATCAGTATAGTATTGTCCTCATGAAATTAATTGAGGAGTATTGCTTCCTCTTTTTCTTGGAAGAGGAATTAACTGGTATTAATTGTAATTAATAGTTATTAATTACACCTTAAATGTTTGGTAGAATTCACTAGTGAACCTATATGGTCCTGGGATTTGAGTGTGGGGGGGTAGATTTTCTTTTTCCTTATTAATAAATTTCTTAATGTTAATTTTTAAAAGAGAAAAAGAGCATAGCAGGAGAGGGGTAGAGAGAAAAGGAGACACAGAATCCGAAGCAGGGTCTAGGCTCCGAGATGTCAGCACAGAGCCCGACAAGGGGTTCAAACTCATGAACTATGAGATCATGGCCTAAGCTGAAGTTGGACACTTAACTTATTGAGCCACTCAGAAACCCTGTGGGTAGATTTTCTAAACAATAATTCAGTCTCTTTACTTTGTTATAGATCTATTCAGATTTTCTATTTCTTCTTGAGTCATCTTCATTAATCTAAAAATACTTTTAAGTTTTCCTTGTGATAAATTTTCTATTAAAAAACTTCTTTTCAAGTTAAAATGGGCAAATTAGCTGTTTAAAATGCTAAATTGAAATACATCAATTGTTGCAAACCATGCATTTAGCATGTTTTGGGGGGCACATTTTATTTTACTATGCAAATATCTTGCTAGAAATAATATGGCAAATAATAATTACTTTCTTTAGGCATTCAGTTGATTTATCCAAACTTCCATTTGGGGATTTATTTTGGAAAGTAAGTTTTTGAGGGGAGTTAAGATGGCAGAGGAGTAGGGAGATCCTAAGCTTGTCTTGTCCTTGGAACACAGCTACATAGTTATTAAATCATTCATAACACTCAAGAAATCAATCAGAGGTTTGAGAGAACAAAAAACTATAAGTCTACAAGTAGAAAAGCAACCATCTTCTGGAAGGTGGGAGATGCAGAGTGTTGACTTGGAGGAGACAAAGCTGTGGGTATGGTGGCTGGGAGGGAATCTATTTATGGAGGCTACTGCAAAATATTATAAGCAGTGGGGTGCAAAATCTGAACTTATAGAAGTCCCTCTCAGTGAGGGATGTGCATGGCTTAACGGTGCTCAGATGGCCACTTGGGGCAGAATCCCAGGAGTGACAGTGTGGTCTAAGGATCCCATGGGTCCCAAGAAGGATGAGTGGCACCAATGTGTGAACTGTTTCCAGGGTTAGGAGCTGGCACTTGGGCTGAGGGCATCAAGCAGGGGTGCCACCTTTCTGCTCGTTGACATAAACCCTGAATTGCCATGAGGTCTTGTGACTGCTTTCCTAGCATGGGCTTGCAAAAATACAGCAAAAACTTCCCCCAGAGGAACAGAGCTGGTGAAATTTGGAGTTTTGAAACTCAGTCATGTGCTTGAGATAAAAAAGCTCAGACACAGACAGAGTGAACACAGGGTTCTGACAGAAACTGGGAACACAAGAGAGGTGATTGAATGCTCTTCCATGAGGATTCCCTGAAGAGTGGAGAACTGATCTTTCAGCTCCAAAGCTAGAGACCAGGATGCTGCCATATTCATCCCGCCCATAAGGTCTGAAAGCCTTCAGGGAGAAAACAGCACCACCTAGTGGAGGCTGGAGCCACTTCACCAAGATCTATCGCCCTGCCTCCGGGAGGCACATTTCCAGGAAAACAAGTCAGCCTGAGAAACAGTACAACAGCCCCTGTCCCGCCCCACCAGAAGACCAGCACAAACTCTCTTGCACCAAGTCTTCTAATCATAGGGTGTGAAAAGCTTCAGCTCTAGGGAAAATAAGATCTAGCTTCCTTTTTATGTTTATTCTTTATTTTTTAAATTATTATTTTTTACTTTTTAATTCCTTTTTTATTATTTTATGTTCACATATATTGTATAAATTTTTCCTTTTTAATATTTTTGTCTTTTCATATTGTATTTACTTTTATTTTTGGATCTAGATTTCTTTAAGTAAGCAGACAAAAATACACTCAGGATCTAGGTTTGTTGTTTTTATTTGTTTCTGGGGAGTGTTTTGTTTTTGTTTTTGTTTATCTCTTTTTTCTGGACAAAAGGATGAGACAGAGAAGTTCACCCCAAAAGAAAGAACAGGAAATGGAATTCACAGCCAGTGATTTAATCAATACAGGTGTAAGTAATTACATCTAATGTCTGAATTAGAATTTAAAAATGATGATAAGGATATTACCTGAGCTTTAGAAAAGCATAAAAGATACCATAGAGTGTCTTCTTTATTTCTGCAGAGATAAAAGAACTAAAATCTAGTCAGGCTGAAATTAAAATGCTATAACTAATATGCAAACCTGAACGGATGTCATGACAGCAAGGATAGACAAGGCAGAGGAACAAATTAGTGATATAGAAAATAAAATTATGGAAAACAATGAAGTTGAAGAGAAGAGGGAAACAAAGGTCCTTAATCACAAAGGCAGACTTAGGGAATTCAGTGACTTGTTAAGATGCAGTAACATTCATATCATAAGAGTCCCAGAAGATGAAGAGAGAGAAAAAGGGGCAAAATGTCTATTAAAACAAATTATAGCTGAAAACTTTCTTAATTTGGGGAAAAACACAGATATCAAAATCCAAGAAGCACAGGGAACTCACATTGAGCTCAACCAAAGCTGACCATTGCCAAGGCATATCATAGTCAAATTCACAAATACATAGACAAGGAAAGAATCCTAAAAGCAGCAAGGGAATAAAAGGCCTTAACCTAAAAGGGAAGACAAAGCAGGTTCTCAGCAGATCTGTCCACTGAAATTTGTTAGGCCAGAAAGGAGTGGCAGGTATATTCAACTTGCTGAATGGGAAAAATAAGCAACCAAGAAGTCTTTATCCAGCAAGGGTGTCACTGACAAGAAATGTACAAATTCCTAGAAAGTTACAAACTACCAAAACTGAAACACGAAGAAATTGAAAACTTGAACAAACCCATCATCACAAAGCAATTGATCAGTAATAAAAAATCTCCCAATAAGAGTTCTGGCCCAAGTGGTTTCCCCAGGGGAATTCTATCAACCATTTAAAAAAGAATCAATACAAATTCTCCATTGGAACAAACTGTTCCAAAAAATAGAAGTGGAAGGAAAGCTTCCAAACTCATTCTATGAAGCCAGTACTACCTTGATTCCAAAACCAGATAAAGACTCCACTAAAAAGAATTACAGGCCAATATCCCAGATGAACATGGATGCAAAAATTCTTAATAAAATACTAGCAAATTGAATTCATCAGTATACTAAAAGAATTACTCACCATGATCAAGTGTAATTTATTCCTGGACTACAGGGCTGGTTAAATATTCACAAATCAATCAATGTGATAAACCACATTAGTAAAATAAAAGATAACCATATGATTCTGTAAATAGATGCAGAAAAAAACATCTGAAAATAATTCAGGATCCATTCTTGATAAAAACCTTCAACAAAGTAGGGATAGATGGAACACACCTCAGCATCATAAAGGCCATATATGAAAGACTTACAGCTAGTATCCTCAATAGGGAAAAACTGAGAGCCTTTCCCCTATGATCAGGACCCAGACAAGGATGTCCATTCTCACCATTAAATATTTAACATAGTACTGGAAGTCTTACTCTCAGCAATGAGACAGAGACAGAGAAAGGGAAAGAGGGAAAGAGAGAAAGAGAGAGAGAAAGAGAGAAAGAGAGAGAGAAAGAGAGAAAGAGAGAAAGAGAGAAAGAAAGAAAGAAAAGAAATGCATCCAAATCACAAGGAAGAAGTCAAACTTTCATTATTTGCAAACAACATGATACTCTATGTAGAAAACCCAAAAGACTACACAACAATTTGCTAGAACTAATAGATGAATTTAGCAAAGTTGAAGGATATACAATCAACATGCAAAAATTGGTTGCATTTCTACACACTAATAACAAAGCAGCAGAAAAAGAAATAAAAAAAATTGATCCTATTTGCAATACATGAAAGACAATATGACACTAGGAATAAATATAACTAAAGAGGTAAAAGATCTGTACTCTGAAAACTATAGAACACTTATAAAGAAAATTACAGAGGACACAAAGACATGGAAAAGAATTCCATACTCATGGATTGGAAGAACATTTTAAAAATGTTTACACTACCCAAACCAATCTACACATTTAACGCAATCCCTATCAAAATATGCATTTTTCAAGAGCCAAAAAAAAACATTCCTAAAATTTAATGGAACCACATAAGATCTCAAATAGCCAAAGCAATCCTGAAAAAGAAAAATGAAACTGGAGCCACCCAAATTTTGGATTTCAAGCTATATTAAAAGCTGTAGTCATCAAGACAGTATGCTACTAGCACAAAAAAAACAGACACATAGGACAGTGGAACAGAACAGAAAACACAGAAATGAACCCATTACTACATGGTCAAGTAATATTCAACAAAGCAGGAAAGAATATCTAATGGAAAAAAAAGAGAGTCTCTTCAACAAATGGAATTGGAAAAACTGGACAGTGACATGCAGAAGAATGAAACCTGACCACTTTCTTACACCACGCACAAAAATAAATTCAAAATGGATGAAAGATCTAAATGTGAGACAGCAAACCATTAAAATCCTAGAGAAGAACAGAGTCAGCAATCTCTTTGACCTTGATCAAAGCAACTTTTTAGAAAGAAGACATGTTGCTGAAAGCAAGGGAAAGAAAAGCAACAATGAACTACTGGTACTTCATCAAGATAAAAAGCTTCTGCACAGTGAGGAAACAATCAACAAAACTAAAAGGAAGCCTCCAGAATGGGAGAAGATATTTGCAAATGACATGATCAGATAAAGGGTTAGTATCCAAAATCTATAAAGAACTTACCAAACTCAATACCCAAAAAATCAAACAACCCAATTAAGAAAGTGGGCAGAAGACATGAATAGACAATTTTTCAAAGAAGACATCCAGATGGCTAACAGGTATATGAAAAGATGCTCAACATCACTCATCATCAGGGAAATACAAATCAAAACCACAATGAGATACCACCTCATATCTGTCAGAATGGTTAAAATTAACAACACAAGAAACAACAGATGTTGGCAAGGATGTAGAGAAAGAGGAATCCTCTTGCACTGTTGTTGGGAATGCAAACTGATGCAGTCACTCTGGAGAACAAGTTGGAGTTCCTCAAAAAACTAAAATAGAACACTCTAGGATCCAGTGATTACACTGTCAGGTATTTACCCAAAAGATACAAAAATATAGATTCAAAGGGATACATGCATCTCAATGTTTATAGCAGCATTTTCAACATGTCCATTTCAACTATGGACAGTGCTCAAATGTCCATTGACTGATCAATGGATAAAGAAGATTTGGTATACATATACAATGGAATATCACTTAGCCATCACAAAATGAAATCCTGCCATTTGCAATTACATGGATGGAGTTAGAACGTATTGTGACAAGAAAATAAGTCAATCAGAGAAAGACAAATACCATATGATTTCACTCGTATTTAAGATACAAAACAGATGAACTTATGGGAAGAGAGGGACAATAAAGAAAAGAGGGGGAAAGAAGCCACAAGAGACTCTTAATGATGGAGAACTGAGGGTTGATGGAGTGGAGGTATGTTGGAAATGGGCTAGATGGGTAGTGGGTATTAAAGGAGGACATTTGTTGTGATGAGCACTAGGTGTTGTGGGTAAGTGATGAATCACTGAATTCTATGCCTGAAACCAATATTGCAGTGTACATTAGCTAGCTAAAATTTAGAAAAAATTTATTATTTTTAATAAAATAATTTTCTAATGCAGTGTTCAGCAAACACTTTCTATAAAGGTTAGAAAGTGCTAACTAAAATTTAAATTAAGAAAAAAATTTATTATTTTTAATAAAATAATTTTCTAATGCAGTGTTCAGCAAACACTTTCTATAAAGGTTAAGCAAGTATATATATTAGGTTGTGTGGACAATATAGTGTCTCTGTAGCTTTTTCTTTTTTAACACAATGCTTTACAAATGTAAAAACCATTTTTAGTTTTCAATTTGTCTTCATAAAGCATATCCTGGATTTGGCCAATTTATCCCTCTAGAAAGTAAATAGTTTTCAATAAAAACAAATGTAATGAAAATCTGAGAGTGACAGATTTTTGGTACTGCTTATTAGAAAGACCTGACTTGAACTCCTGACGTTTATTTTCAGAGCTGTATGTATATAATGTTTTACCTCAGAAGGCATTTCATATGCCTCATTGTCAGGATCAACAGGCATATCTCCCAGAATTCCTTCCTGTGGGCCTCCTTCTTCATTCTAAATGGAAATCACAAAGGGAATATAATGAGGTACCATTTTTTACTTTTTAAAAATTAAGCACTTTGAAAACATCTTATATAGAAAATGGTAAAAATGTTGTAAAATAGCACTCCTTCATACTAGTGCTAGCATTCTAAAATTTTTTTTTTAATGTTTTTATTTATTTCTAGGAGAGAGAGAGAGACAGCGTGAGCAGGGGAGGGTCAGAGAGAGAGGGAGTCACAGACTGAAACAGGCTCCAGGCTCTGAGCTGGCAGTCAGCACAGAGCCCGACGTGGGGCTCGAACCCACGAACCGCGAGATCATGACCTAAGCGAAAGTCGGACGCTTAACCGACTAAGCCACCCAGGCGCCCCCTAGTGCTAGCATTCTAAACTATGCAATACCTGTGCAGAAATATTGTGGTGGTATGCATTACCAACCTAAAAATCTACAGAATTTTTGTCCAAGTAATTCACCACCCAGGAAATAGTCCAAAGCTATAGTCCAAATATGTTTTTTATAGGATCAATGACAGCAGTAAAAAAAATTGTTAGTCTAAAAGTTCAACCTTCTGTTGAAAAGTTTAGAAAATTATAATTCATCTATCAATAGATTATTATGAAGATATGTATGAGAGAGAGAGAGAGACCAAGCCTGAGTAGGGGATGGGCAGAGAAAGAGGGAGACACAGAATCTGAAGCAGGCTCCAGGCTCTTAGCTTCTGAGCTGTCAGCACAGAGCCTGATCCGTAGTTTGAACTCATGAACCATGAGATCATGACCTGAGCTGAAGTCAGATGCTTAACCAACTGAGCCACCCAGGTGCAAAAAAAGTACACATATTTTATAATTTATATTTAAGTGTTGGCAAAGAAATTGTTTTCTGAAATTTCAAAACTGAAACTACACACGCACACACACACTCACACCCCAAATACATGATCCACAAATTTCCCACATCTCTATCCTTAGAAATAAGATACCATAAATTCAACTTGAACTCATGTCTCTACTCGTATCCTGCATTAATACCTTTTGTTGTTTTGCATGGATTCCAGTAAAGTGATTATAAAAGATAAAGTTCACTGAAAATTGAAAAAGCAGAGGGGGCAAAGTGAGCTTAAAATGGACTTACTCAAAGAGATCAAATAGTCCCTCAGCCAGTGGAGCTTATGTTTAAAAATATGCCTTTGTGCAAACAATAGTTCTTCTTGTCTTCATCAGTGACTGACAGGAAGGCAAGGAAAAAGAAATGTATGCCCATGTGAAAAGGTCAGACTATAGCTCATGCCTACATTAGCAGGGCTGAGGAATTTATATATCATCTTCTCCTGCCCTCCCTTTTTAAAAACCAAAAAGCCATTTTATAAATGAAATAAAATACAAACACTCCCCAAAATACCTTACTTATAAATGTGGAAATAAAGATATTGTTTCTACAAGATTTCTTAGCACAAATCAAAAATACAGGTTCTGTTGAATAGTGGTTAGATATGAGTTCTGTAGCATCACAAGACTTGAGTTCAAAGCTTAGCTTCTCTAGATTCTAGATTTTTTTATTGAAATATAATTAACATATAGTGTTATATTAGTTTCAGGTGTACAACATAAGGATTCAACAATTCTATGTACTTACCGTGATGAGTGTCATCACCATCTGTCACCAAACAATGTTACAATCTCACTGACTATGCTATACTTTTCATCTCTCTGACATACTCATTTTATAACTGGAAGTTTGTGCCGCTTAATCGCCTTTATTTTTTTCACCCATTGCCCCACCCACCTCTCCTCTGGCAACCACCCATTCTCTGAATTTCGGAGTCTGTCTCTGTGTTCATTTCTTTTGTTTCTTAGATTCCCCATATGAATGAAATCATATGGTATTTGTTTTTCTTGTCCAACTTATTTAACTCAGCATTATACCCTCTAGATATATCAATACTGCGCAAATGTTAACATTTCATCCCTTTTCATGGGCAATACACCATTGTGTGTGTGTGTGTGTGTGTGTGTGTGTGTGTATACATACACCACACCTTCTTTATACGTTCATTTTTCCATGAACATTTTTCCAGTAGCCATGCTTCCATATATTGGCTATTGTAAATAATGCTGCAATAAACATAGGGGTGTATATATCTTTTATGCACTAGTTTTAGTGTTATTTTTTCCTTGGGCAAATACTCATTAGTGGAATTACTGGGTCATATAGTATTTCTATTTTTAATTTTTTGAGAAAACTCCATACTATTTTCCAGAACGGCTGCACTAAGTTTCATTTCCACCAACAGTGCACAAGGGTTCTTTTTTCTCCACATCCTCGCCAACATTTGATACTTCTTATCTTTTTGATTCTAGCCATTCTGATAAGTGTCAGGTAATAAATATTATGGTTTGATTTGCATTTCCTTAATTATTACTGTTGTTGAGCATCTTTACACAAGTCTGCTGGCCATCTGTATGTCTTCTTTGGAAAATGTCTACTCAGATCTTTTACCCAGTTTTTTGATTGTACTGTTTTTCGTTTTATTTTTGATATTGTATAAGGTATTTTATGTTTTGGATATTAACCCCTATTGGATATAACATTTGCAAATATCTTCTCTGATTCAGTAGGCTCCTTTTTGTTTTGTTGATGATGGTTTCCTTCACAGTGCAAAAGCATTTTATTTTGGTGAAGTCTCACAAGGTCTTTTTTGTTGTTTTGTTTTGTTTTGACTTCAGTGTCTGTTGCCTTAGGAGACATATCTAAAAAAGTGTTTCTACAACTAATGTCAAGGAAATTACTGCCAATGTTTCCTTCTAGGAATTTTATAGCTTCAGGTCTCACATTTAGGTTTTTAATTAAGTTTATTTTAGTGTATAAGAAAGTGGTCCAGTTTCATAATTTTGCATATAGCTATCCAGTTTTCCCAACACCATTTATTGAAGACTGTCTTTTTTCCACTATATATTTTTATGTCCTCTGTAGTAGATTAATTGGCCATAGAAGCATGTGCTTATTTCTGGGTGCTTTATTCTCTTGGCTTTATTCATGTGTCTATTTCTGTGCCAGTACCATAGTGCTTTGTTACCACAGCTTTGTAATATATCTTGAAATCTGGGATTATGATACCTCCAGCTTTATTCTTCATCAAGATTACTTTGGCTGTTTGGGGTCTTTTGTAGTTCCAAATGAATTTAAAAATTATTTGTTGTAGTCCTGTGAAAAATGCCATTCATATTTTGATAAAGATTGTATTGAGTCTGTAGATGGTTTTGGGTAGTATGGATATTTTAAAAATACTAATTCTTCTATGAGTTCTTTCCATTTATTTGTGTCATCAGGTTTTTTCATCAATGTTTTATAGTTTTTAGAGTACAGGTCTGTCCACTCCTTGGTTAAGTTTATTCCTAAGTATTTAATCCTTTTTAGTGCAATTGTAAGTGGGATATTAAGTGTTTTCTTAATCTCTTTCTGGCATTTTGTTTTTAGTGTATAGAAATGGAACAGATTTCTGTACATTAATTTTATACCCTGCAAATTTACTGAATTCATTTATCAGGTTTTTTTTAATGTTTTTATTTATTTCTAGGAGAGAGAGAGAGAGAGACAGCATGAGCTGGGGAGGGTCAGAGAGAGAGGGAGTCACAGACTGAAACAGGCTCCAGGCTCTGAGCTGGCAGTCAGCACAGAGCCCGACGTGGGGCTCGAACCCACGAACCGCGAGATCATGACCCAAGTGAAAGTCAGACACTTAACCGACTAAGCCACCCAGGCGCCCCAATTTATCAGTTTTAATAGTTTTTTTGGTAGAGTCTTTAGAGTGTTCTATATACAGTATCATGTCATCTGCAAATAGTGAAAATTTTATTTCTTCTTTATCAATTTGTATGCCTTTTATTTTTCTTGTCTGATTGCTGCAGACAGGACTTCAAGTACCATGTTGTATAGAAGTGGTGAGTGGACATCCATGTCTTGTTCTTAATCTTAGGGAAAAAGCTTTTGATTTTCCCCCTTTGAATATATTATCTGAGAGTTTTTCATATATATTCTTTACTATGTTGAAGTATGTTCCATCTAGACCAACTTTGTTGAGGATTTTTATTATGAGTGGATGTTGTACTTTGTCAATTTTTTTTTGCATCTATTGAGATAATCATATGGTTTTATCCTTTCTCTTGTTAATATGATGTATTATACTGTTTGATTTGCAAATACTGAACACTTGTATCCCTGGAATAAATCCCAATTTATTGTGGTGAATGATTTTTTTAATGTATTATCAAATTTGTTTTACTAATATTTTATGGAGGATGTTACATCTATGTTCATCAGATATATTGGTCTGTAGTTTTTTTTGCGGTGTCTTTCTCTGGTTTTGATATCAGAGTAATTTTGGCCTCATGAAGTGAATTTCAAAGTTTCCCCTTTTCTCCTCCTCCTTCTTCCTTCTCCCACCTCGTCCTGCACCTCTTCTTCCTCCTCCATCTTCCCATTCTCTCCCTTCCCCCTCTTCCTCTCCTTTTTCTTTTGAATACTTTCAGAAAAATATTTGTTAACTTTTTAAATGTTTGGTAGGATTCACCTATGAAACTATCTTGTCCTGAGTTTTTGCTTTAGAGTTTTTGATTACTGATTCAAGTTCATTGATAGTAATTGCTCTCTTCAAATTTTTTCTTTCTTCCTGATTCTGTTTTGGAAGGTTATATTTTTCTAGATATTTATCTAGTTCTTTTATGTTTTCCAATTTGGCATATAATTTTTTATAATTTACTTATGATTTTTTTGTATTGCTGTGATGTTATTTCTCTTTCATCTCTAATTTTGAGTTCTCTTTTTTTCTTAATGATTCTATCAATTTTGTTGATCTTTACAAAGAGCCAGGTTTTTGTTTCATTAATCTTTACTATGGTTTAAGCTCTATTTCTGCTCTAATCTTTATTATTCCATTCTTTCTATTCACTTTGGGTTCTTCTTTTTATAGCCTCTTTAGGTATAAGGTTGGTGTTGTTTATTTCAGATTTTTCTTA